GAACAAATACTCATCATCAGCATGCTCATCCTCATCCTCATCCTCACTATCATCGTCACCATCACCACCATCATCATCATCACCATCATCGTCATCATCGTCACTGCAATCATCATCACCATCCTCACCATCGTTACCGTCATCATCATCAACATTAACATCAACATCAGCATCATCATGTTCATCATACTCATCGTCCGCATGTCCATCCTCCTCCTCACCACCATCATCAACAACCGATCCATCTGCATCACTGGTGCATATTATTTGTTTTGGTACGCGTTCGCGCGAAGACGAGTCGAACGCCGTGCAAGCTGAGGCGGGCCGCGCCGAAGCAAAGGGGGAAACAGCGAAGCGAGACTTGGGCAGATCCTGGTCGCACCAAGAAAATGACGAATATCTAGCTCTGGGCCTCGCGAGCCGAACGGCACGGTCAAGGTGCAGGCGCTGGGCGCGTTACTGACCGCGTCTTGCCACGATGAGGATACGAGGGGCACAGGGGCACACAAATCAAAAGACATAAATCCCAGGATCCACCATATGTTCTGGGTTCTCGTCTGGGCCGACGATTCATGATTCCTGTGTGTGCGCTTCCCCTCCTGTGTATGGTGATACCAGGACGGTGTGTCGAGGTTCCCTAGACACGGTGAAATTACCTGCTGGGGCTGAAGAGGCCCTCAGAGGCCACCCCCTTGCTCCCAGAGGTCAATCGGCTCATCCTGGCTGCCCGCTTGGTTTCACTATACGTTCCTCTTCGTCCCTTTTCCCGTCAGCTCCCTGGGCAACCTTCTGAGCGGGCCGGTAGGGATGCGCGAACAGCGCGAAGAATTCATCCCCCCGGCCGGCGCCCGTGCCTTCCTCATGGCTCGCGGGGAGGGGCAGAAGGAGGAGGGCTCCGACGACGAGGGCATCGAGACTAGAAGAAGAAGAAGAAAAAACACCATAGACATAAACTGTTTTGGCGCTCCGCGAAGACTTCGTGGATCTGCGCTGGACCCCCCTCCCTGGCTCTCGGAGAGTGCCAGGGGCGGCGCCAGAGGCGCCGAGGGGGGGGCCCAGCGCAAATCCAAGACACCCGCGCGGAGCGCCAAACATTATGTTTATGGTTAGGTCGGGCATGTCCCCCTACAGGGCGATTTTTGGCGACAAATGGAAAATAGTTCAAATATGCTCCAAAAAGTAATAATCAAATAACTCGTCCCCAGACTGTGTTGATACTATGTTTGAATATTCCTCCTGTGGAGGGACAGGCCCGACTTACGTTTATGGTGCTGATTCAAGGGCTCTCAACTTCGCGCTTCGCGCTGCGCAAAGCGCGAATAACTTCGCGCTCTCGTGCCGCCTCCCAAGGGGGAAGAGGAGGAGGAGGAGGAGGAGAAATCGGAGACGAACCGCGAAGCGAGAGTAACTTCGCGCCCTCGAGGGCGCCCTTGTGTATTCTACTTCGAGAGACGGACGGGGACGAGGACGACCGAGGAAAAGCAGACGAGGAGGCGACGAGGAGGGCGCCGAGGCGAGGGGGCGGGGGAACCCCGTCCACGGGCGAGGGCGACGGGCGAGGCCGCTGAGGCCGAGGCGGAGGAGGAGGAGGAGGAGAAGGAGGGGCAGGAGGAGACGGAGGAGGGGGAGGGGGGGAGGGGGAGAGGGAGGAGGAGGAGGGGGAGGAGGATGGGGGAGGAGGAGGAGGAGGATGAGGGAGGAAGGAGGAGGAGGAGGAGGAGGAGGAGGAGAGGAGGAGGAGGAGGAGGAAGGGGGATGAGGAGGAGGAGAAGAGGACGAGGATGAGGAGGAGGAGGAGAGGAGGAGGAGGAGGAAAGGAGGAGGAGGAAGAGAGTAGGAAGGGAGGAGGAGGAGGAGGGAGGAGGAGAGGAGTAGGAGGAAGAGTGAGGAAGGAGGGAGGAGGAGGATGGAGGAGGGGGAGGGGGGATGAGGAGAAGGCAGAGGAGTAGGAGGTGGGGGGAGGGAGGAGGAGGGGGGGAGGAGGGGAGGAGGGGAGGGAGGGAGGAGGAGGAGAAAGAGAGTGGAGGATGGCAGGGGGAGGGTCGGGGCGAAGGAATGGAGGAGGGGGGGGAGGGGGGTGGGGGTCGGGGGGAGGGGAAGGATGCGAATGGGGAGGAGGAGGAGGAGGAGGAGGAGGAGGAGGAGGAGGAGCAGGAGGAGGAGGAAGAGGAGGAGGGGGAGGAGAGGAAGGCGGCTCGTTCTGTGGGGGGCGGTCGGGCTCGAGGCTGGGCCTCACGAAAAGTCGTGCTGCCTGCAGGAGGGAGACGGTAGAGGATGACGAGGACAGCTCGAGCACGAGGAGGATGACGAGGAGGATAATGACGAGGGAGACGACGACGACGACGACGACGACGACGACGACGACGACGACGACGACGACGACGACCGACGCTTTTTTTCCTGGGATGCGGCCAGTTGCAGCGCCAGTGCCAGCTCCGGGCGGAGGAGGCGGGGGAAGGCGAGGGACCCAGGCATCCGAAGCCTCGATAATCTTCGAGACGCGGGCCCCCGCCCTCCTGACCACTTCCCCTTGACGGTTTTTTTTACGATGACATGGGAGCCAATGTATTCACACAGTGTGTGAATGTACTGGTGGACGCTACCACGAGTGTGGGAGTCGGCCACTACCCGATGCTCCGAAGGCATGGGGCAGCACCGTCGGGCTCCCTGAACGTATACAGTCTGAGCTCGTCGCTGCAGCGCCTCCGATTGCATGGCTGCTTCGTGCCTTTGCGGCCGCACGCTGCAACGGTGCCCGACGCAGTTGGCGGGCGGACAGGCGAGGACCCCGAATCGGTGCTTGAGGGTCCCGGGGCCCGGCGAGGGCCCCGTCAGGCAGCAGACGACGAAAAGCCTCCGTCTCGATTTGTTCGAGGCGCCCGACGTCTGGGGAGGGCGGAGGAGGGGGAGGGCGACGAGGAGAAAAGGCGGGGTGAAAAACAGGCACCAGGCGCACCGCACGGGAGCCCCGCGAGGCCGCCCACGCACGGCCGCGGCGCGGCCCTCGGCAGCGGGGGCACCGACGAGGGGGCAGATGTCGCCGCGCACGGCGGCCGCTCTCTCCGCAGGGGGCCCTCGTGAGACCAGCCAGTCCAATGGCCCCTACGCTGCGGCCGGGACAGAAGGAGGAAAGGGGCCCTGGGGCACACAGATAAAAGGACGCAGATCCCAGGATCCCCGATAGTTTCCAATGCTTTCTGGGTGTTCGTCGTCCCCCCCCACTTCCCCTATGTTCCGATATTTTCCTGGGAGTCGACGATGAATTGTGTCTGTGTTCTTTTCCCTCCTGAAGGATGCGCGGTAAGGATGCGAGGCAAGCCTTGGACGCCCAAATGAAAGCCGAAGTTGGCAGCCCGTAGAGAGGCAAGACTAAGGATAGCCTTGGAGAGCAACTCGTCCTCCTGATGCAGTTTGACTGAATCATTGCTCCCTCGTCCCTTCCTCCTCGTATCCCCCCTCTGCCCCGCCCCCCCCGTCCCCCACCACCCGCCCGCACTCCTCCCCCGCCCGCACTGCAATCGAAACTGATAGGAAGGATGCGCGATAGGGATGATAGCCCTTGGACGCACACGTCGAGGCTCTTCGAGCGGGGCTGGCCATCGAGAGTGATACTGGTTAAGGATGGGCCGAAGAGGCAAGGAAGCAAGGTTACAGTCGAGCCGCACAAGAAACGAAGCCCCTGACCGACAATCCCGGTATTCCGATAGGCCTACCACGAAATGCTCTTAGAGCCCAAACATGCTCTAAGAGCTCTAAGAACAACAACTTCTTAGAACATAGAACCGATGCGTTAAAACAAGACAGCGACAGCCAGGAATGTTCTAAAAACATTTCCGTGGAAGCCGCAGCAGGTTCTCAGAACATTGCTTGGTACAGGCCCATAGGGACGCCAGGACGCTCCGCCACTGCTTGATCCCTCCCAGCTGGAGGGGGGGGGAAAGAAGAGGGGGGGAGAGGAGGGGGGGAGGGAGGGGGTGGAGGAGGATGAGGAGGAATGGGAGGAGATGAGAGGAGGAGGAGGAGGAGGAGGAGTAGAGGAGGAGAGGGCGTGGCGGGAGTGTACGAGCTCGAGGGCCTCCCTGGGGTCCCTTTGAGGAGCTCCCCGTCGTCCTCGTCCGCCTGCACCTCTTCCCCCCGCGCCCTCGGCGCCTCCTCGTCTCTGCCGCCCTCCCCCCCTCGTCCTCTGCGTCTGCCCTTCAGATCCGCTCGTCCCGCCCCGCTGCCCCTCCTCCTCCTCCTCCTCCTCCTCCTCCTCCTCCTCCTCTCCTTCTCCTCCTCCTCCTCTCCTCCTCCTCCTCCTCTCCTCCTCTCTCCTCCTCCGCCTCCGCCTCCGCCTCCGCCTCCGCCTCCGCCTCCGCCTCCGCCTCCGCCTCATCCTCGTCCTCCCCCCGCGGCCCCCGCTCGTCCCGCCCCGCGTCCCTCCACCCCTTCGCCCGGGAGGGAGGGAGCACGGGAGGGCCAGGACGAGGACGACATCAGAGGAGGATACATTGAAAACCGCCCCCCCCCCCCCTTCCCCTCCCCCCCCCCTGGGCGGCCCCCGCTCGTCCAACCCCGCGGTCCCTCCTCCCCCTTTCTCCCCGGGAGGGAGAGAGCCCGGGAGGCCAGGCACAGGACTACATCGTATGAGGAAACATCGGAGAACCTCCGAGATCCGGCAGCTCTGGAGCATCTCGGACGGCAAGCCCGACAGCCTCCGTCAGAGCCCATGTTTCTGGCAAGCTCCTGAGAGGCCGTTCCCGCAACGCTCTGAAAGGATCTCTCTTCGTCCCTAAAATAAGAAAGAAAAAAAAAAAAAAAAACTAAAAAAACAAAAAATAAAAAAAAAGTCACTAAAGAACAAAAAAACTACAAAAAAAAACATATCGTCCTAGCCCCACTCGCTCCTTCCCTCCTCCCCTCGCCGTCTTCTCCCATCCGTGGGGGAGCATGGGATCCGTGAGTGTGACGAGGGTCCCCGACACTACTGCTCCACGGCGTGCATGTTTCGCTGCCGCAGCCTCTGGAAGTAGGCCTGCTTGATGGACGACAGGTCCTTGTTGTGCCTGTCGATCTCATCCTTCAGGACCCCGACCTGCCCGCAGGGAGAGGCGGCGCACGAGGAGGGAAGTCGGCGACACGCAAGAGTGACCCTGGGTAAGAGTGACCTTTCGTGCGCAGTGTTTGGGGGGCCGCGGGAGGGCCAAACACAATCGCGCAAGACGCTGCTATCGCATCGCGTTCGGCGATGGGGGGACCCCAATGGGCCCGCAACAAAGGTCACTCCAGCGAAGGGTCACTCTTGCGTGTAGTCGAGGATCAAGGAAAGTCGGCGGTGGACAAACCTCCATTTAGTAGACCTCCCCTTCGTGAAAACGACCTGGGACCAAAACCGACGGACCTGGACCCGCAAAAATGACGGCCGCGACGCCCTCTCGCGAGCCGAAAACGGCCAATTCCTTAATCGACGTGTCAGGGTAGGAGGTCTGTCAACCCCCGAGAAAGGGGACAAGAGGAAGGACAAAAAAGAGAGAGGCGAGGAGTCCGGCCCGCATGTGGTAGGACTCGAGCTCCTCCGCCATCTGCTTCATGTGCCGGGTCTTGTCCTTCAGGTTCTGGCTGTACCAGGCCAGCTGCTCGGCGACCTCGGGCCCCGGCTGCCTGGCGGGGGGGCCGTGCCTCGCCGGCTGCTGCCCGCCCGTGCCTTGCGCGCGTGGCCCCTCTCGGGGGCCTCGGGAAGCCTCTGGAGACCTCGGAGGGGAGGCGGGGGGGAGGCGATGCCAAGGTTAGGTCGGGCCTGTTCCCGTACAGGCGGATTTTGGATGAAAAATAAGACATACTCCAAACAATAATTCAAACAGAGCTAAACAATAGTCCAAAAATCGTCCCCAGACTATTTTTTGACTATTTTGGAATGCTCCTCCTGCAGAGGGACAGGCCCGACTTCAGGCAAAGGCCGAGTGACCCTGTGGATCGGCGGCTCGCCCGAAGGGGACGCGATTTGTGGAAAGGTCCTCGAAAAATCGCGGGCCTCTCGGAGAGGTGTTCGAAGCCTTCCCCCCCCCCCGGCGGCACGCCTTCTCAGAGCAGGCGCGAGGGCTTCTGAGGGACCCCCGCCGCCTTCTTAGAACGGCCCGGGCTCCGTGCCGCGGCGCGGGCGCGCCCCCCGTGGGCCGCGCGAGGCCGCGCGCGGCCGCCTCCCCGGGGAGAGAGAGCGGCGGCCGCTCCTCCGTGGCCTGGGCAGGGCCGCGGGGCCCGGGCTCGGCCTGGCCGGGGCTCGGTGCAGGCGTGCAGCTTGCGTCTTCCGGAAGGAGGAGGAGGAGGAGCGAGAGAAGGAGGAGGAGGAGGAGGAGGAGGAACCTTCCAGGACCTCACAGCCGCTGACAAGGCCCGCGCCTTCCAGGAAGCCGTGCCACTTCCCCCCGGCCTCGAGGGCAGGGTAGCGAAGGGCAAGGCACACGGCCGGCTCACGTGACTGCTGCTCCCGGCGCCTCCAGCCGCCGGGAGGCGCCCGTGCACCGAGGAGAGTGGGCCCGGCGGCGGGGCGGACAGCAGCTGCATGCCGCAGATGTCGTACCCCCCCCCTTTCCCATACCCTGCCCTAAATAAACACAAAAAAAAGAAAGAAAAATTTAAAAAATAACAAAAAAAAAAAAAAAAAGGGGAAACGAAAATGGCAATAAACATAACAACGCGGAGAAAAAAAACAAGGAAAAGAAGGTCCGCGCGGATTTCTTGAATCCGCGCTGGACCCCCCTCCCTGGCGCGCGGAGCGCGCCAGGGGCGGCGCCGGAGGCGCCGCCAGGGGGCTCCAGCGCGGATCCAAGAAATCCGCGCGGACCTCCGAGCTTTTATGTTTATGCCATTTTTCGCTCCCCTATACCCTTTCCCTACCCTGCCCTGTCGTGCAGCCCGGCTGCCCAGCTCGGCGCGCGGCTGACAGCTGGTGCCCTCCGACTCCCCGCCCCCTGGAGGCGCGCATGCCTGCCACGGCCAGGGCCCTCCTCGGTGCAGGAGCGCGGCCGTCCTCGCGCGCCCGCAGGATGGCACTTCGTCGGTCCGCGCGCGTCTGCCGCGGCAGCTTGGGGGGCGCACACCTTCGGCGGCGCGCGCGGCGGACGGCGGGCGACGGCATGCAGGTCGGAGCGGCCGATTATCCCCAACCGCGGGGGGCGCGGACTGCCGCGCAGCTCCTCCTCCGCCCTCCTCCTCCTCCTCCGCCCTCATCCTCCTCTTCCTCCTCCTCCTCCTCCTCCGCCCTCCTCCTATCGCTATCGCTATCGCTATCGGCTCGATGTCCAGTTGGACGCAGCCGTCCGCGCGGCCGAAGCTCCGCGCGCGCGCCCGAGGCGCGTGGGGGGGGGTCACCCCCCGACACATGCTCCCGCCAGAGGGGCGGGGGCCGAAAAGGACCGAGAAAACGGGCCCAGGAGTTTCGGGAACGAGGAAGGAGGAAGAGGGGGCTCATTAAAGGCCTGAAGAGGAAGGGAAAAAAAAAACCCGTGACGGCCTGCGCGCAGGCGGCGGCCCGCCGGCGGCGGCTCGGTTCGGTCAGGCCTGAACCGAGTCCTCCCCCCCCTCGCCCTCGAGGGGGCGTCCAGGATGGGGCTGGCGGCCTCCGTGAGCACTGCGGCCGTCTTGCCGTGGTGGGCGCCTGTCTCGTTCGTCTTGGGCCATGTTACGGCCAGATCGGGTCGTCGGATCAGCGGCTGCTGTCCGACCAAGCTGGGGCAGACTGCCCAAAATGGAGGTGACGAAGTCGTCGAGGGGATTACCGTGGTCCTGGGAGAGGCCGAAGTAGATGGCGTAGAGGCTGCTGGCGTCGCGCCCTCCTCCTCCTCCTCCTCCTCCTCCTCCTCCTCCGCCCTCCTCCTCCGCCCTCCTCCTCCTCCTCCTCCTCCTCCTCCTCCTCCTCCTCCTCCTCCTCCGGCGCGGGCGAGGGAGCCAGGGCGCGAGCGAGCGCGGAGGGGGGCACGACGCGCTCGGGCCGCGGCGCGGCAGGACCACGGGGGGGCCGCTGGCGCGAGGGCGGGCCCAGGCTGGCAGCGGTGAGGACACGGGCCGCGGCGGCGAGGATGCCGGGGCGCCCTCGGGAAGCCACCCGTCCTGGCGCCCGATGGGGAAGCCCAGAATCGAATCGACAGGACGGATCGGCAATCGAGATGACTCGGACCGGCCGAAAGGGGCAGCCGAGTCGGGAGAAGACGACTCGGCGGAAATCGTCAGGCTGACAGGCCCCAAGGGGGAAAAAATCGGAGTCCGGAATCGGAATCCGAAGTCGAATCGACTCGGAATCGGATACCGTCGAAATCGAATCGGATCGAATCGGAGGACTCGAACTGAGCCCTGGGTGGTTCTTTCTAGCTGCAGAGCCCGCCGCGGACGAGTCGGGCGTGCGCCTGTGCGGCGGACAGGAGGCAGGAGGCTGGCCGCGCAGGGAGGCGGCTGGCGGGGGGGGACACGCTCGATGCGTGAAGTGCTTCACGCAAGGTGCTGGCGTTAGGTCGGGCCTGTCCCCCCTACAGGGGGATTTTGGGCGAAAAATGAAAAATACTTACTACATACTCCCAAAGTGTTCAGGAATAATGAAAAGAAATCCCCTGACTATGTTTTGACTATTTTCGAATATTCCCCCTGCAGAGGGACACGCCCGCCTTAATGCTGGCGGCCGGAGGCTCCAGTGGGGACGCGCGGAGAGGAGGAAGCATCCCTGCGGACTTGTCTTTCGTCCGTCGGCGGCGAGGCAGAGGCCATCCGCACAAGCGTGGGGCGAAGCGGGGGCACCGATGGGCACATTGTCCGGCGTGCAAGAGAGAGAGAGAGAGAAGAAGAGAGAGAGAGAGAGAGAGAAGGAAAAGACGAGTGAAGGGGCCCTGGGAGACACACAGTTGGATACACGCAAAGAACAGGATTCCCCATATTCCCATATTTTCCCATATGTTCTGGAGGATCAACGATTCATGTTGTCTGTGTGCTTTTTCCCCTCCTGAACGAGGGCGGCCGCGCGGGAGGAGAGGGAAGCAGGCGCCATCCCTTCGCAGAACCAGCTGCGTAACAAAAACAGTCGGAGGTCCGCGCAGACTTCTGGGGCGCCAGGGGCGCCAGGGGCGCCACAGGGGTGGGGGTCCAGCGCCGACCCAAGAGATTCGCGCGGGCCTCCGAAAGTCTACGCTTGCGCACTGTTTTTGTTTTTCGAGACCTGCCAGCGATATACGAAAAATGAGTCCTCCTCCTCCGCCTCCTCCTCCCCAACTCCTCCACTTCCTCCTCCTCTATCTCCTCCTCTATCTCCTCCTCGATCTCCTCCTCTATCTCCTCCTCTGTCTCCTCCTCTATCTCCTCCTCCTCCTCCTCCTCCTCCTCCTCCTCCTCCTCCGCGTGGACATGTGCCCTGTGAAGCGTGCAGGCCCGTTGAGAACGAAGTGTGTGTGCGTGGTTGTGGTTGTGTGTGTGGTTGTGGGTGTGTGTGTGTGCTGCGGGGCGACGAGCGAGCTCGGTCCGCCCCGACGTCAAAGACGCCGCGAGGCGTTGGGCGCTCGATCCCGAAGGCTCCACACCAACACGAAGGGGGCCCAGGGACACCGAAAGAAATACACACACATACCAATATTCTCTATATTTTCTCGTTTGTTCTGGGTGTTCGTCTCCCCCCCAAATGTCCATAGTTTCAAGTAGTTTCCGGGGGATCGACGATCCATTGTGCCTGTGTGTGCTTCCCCTCCTGACCACACCTTGCTGACGGGACGTGCCCCATTCAGGCAGGAGGAGGTGGAGTGGGCGGAGAGGGAGGGGGGCAGAAGGAGAGGATCCGAGGAAGAGGCTGCCTGGCGATGATGCTCTTGAGCTGGACGTAGAGCTTCTCCTTCTCCTGAATCAGCGAATCCTTCTCTACCACCTCCTCTGTTTTGGATATCAGCAGCTTCTGCAACGACTTCACCTTCTGGATCATCTCGTACGTTTGGGGGTCCGACCCCTCCAGCTCGCGCCAACGGTGCACGTTCATCGGATTGGCCATCTCCTCCTGCAGCGCCTTCAGCTTGGCTTCCTCGCGCAGCAGCGTCTTGCTGAGGTGGTGAACCTCACGCTTCAGGCCGTCAACGTTGGTGACCTGCGTCCGCGCGAGCGCCACGTCGGCCTTCGTCTTGCGGATCTCGCCGCGCAGGCGCTCCACCTCCCGGAGCCGATCGTTGTACTGGATCTCCCCCTTCTGCAGGGTGCTCTGCTGGATCTTGATCTTCTCGTAGAGCAGCGCCAGCTCCTCGTTCCGCCGGATCAGCTGCGCGCCCAGGATGTCGCGCTCCCCGATGACGCCCTCCAGCTCCTTCTGCTGCGCCTGGCGCTCCTGCTCCGCCTCCTGCGGGGCCTCCCCAACGGCAGGCTCGCTCTCCTGCTCCCCCCCCATGGGGCCTGGAGGGCATCGGCCGTACCCCGTCGTCCCGAACACCCTCGTCCTCATCCTCGCCCGCGGCAACGGAGTGTCGTTCAACCGATCCCCATCCCCAGCGGCGTGGCCTGGGCCCCACTGGCCGAGTTACCTCCCTAGATGGGGATATAGGCCGTTCCCTTCGGGTTTCGAGGGGTGTATCCCCAACTGGGGTGTCAATTTGGTGGGGGTCTCGAAGGGGATGGGATGGGGATGGGGATGGGGATCGGTCAAACGATACTGAGCAACCTCTCATTCACTCTCGGAGGCGCGGGGTGCGAGAACAGCTTTGGCTCCGCAGGGCAGTGATCGCTGCGAGGGGAGACGTGGCCATGCATGGAGAGAGTCGGCGGCGCGCCCGAGGGGAAAGGATGCGGGGCGGGCCTTCTCAGAAGGCTCGGAAGTTCCCATGTCTTCAGAGAAGTTTCTGAAACCGCCCCCCCCCCCAAGACACAGGAAACGAGGGGGCGCGAGGCCTTCTGAGGAGCCCCGCCGCCTTTTGGGAAGGCCTTCTCCTTCTCGCTTCCCCCCCATCGCTCGCCGCCGAGAGCGAGACCCTGGACCCTGGAGCCTTCCCCCAGGACGAGGTCTTCATCCTGAGTCGTGTTCTGACAGTTCTGGGGCCCGTGGGGGGCCCCGAGAGACCCAAAACAGTGGCGTTCCCCCCCTATGGCGCCTTCAGGACCCGTTGTCCGGCATGGCGCCTTCTGTGAAGTGCCCTGAGCCTTCCCCGGGGACACAGGAAAGTTCTCAGAGGGCGCGAGGGCTTCTGAGAATCCCCACCGCCTTTCGAGAGGGCCTTCTCCTTCTCAGTTTCCCCCCCTCGCTCGCCCCCGAGGGCTCCGTGCCGCAGCGCAGGCGCGCCCCCCGAGGCCGCGCGCGGCATCCTCCCCAGGGAGAGCGGCGACCGTGCCTTCCTGACCCGGGCAGGGCCGCGGGGCCCAGAATCGGCCTGGCCAGGCTCGGTGCAGGTGTGCAGCTTGCTCCTGACTCTCAGAGGCGCGGACATCACAGCCAAAGACAAGGCCCGCGCCCTCTGCGTGCAAAGCCTTGCCCCTTCCCCCTGCCTCGGGGGGGACGAGAAGGGTAGATTCCCTCGTCCTCCTCCTCCTCCTCCTCCTCCTCCTCCTCCTCTTTTCCCCCTCCTCCTCCTCCTCCTCCGCCTCCTCCTCCTCCTCCTCCTCCTCCTCCTCCTCCTCCTCACGTGGCTGGACTTCCTGGCGCCTCCTGGCTCGCCGCCGAGAACGGGCAGAGGCGGGCGCAGACAAGGGGAGGGGGCCAGACGCACGCGCCGGGCGGGCCCCGCCTTCCGACAGGGAAAGCGGTGGGGAAAGGGAAGCGGGGTGCGAGAGGAGGAGGAGGAGGAGGAGGAGGAGGAGGAGGA